TGCCGCGACGATGCCCAAGAGGAAGGTGAGCGGCGGCCGCGGCCCGCACACGCCCCCCTCCGCCGCCCGGCTGGCCCCGGCGCCCCGCGAGGCCCAGGCCAGCCGCGCTCTCGGCAGCGCTGGGCCCGGGAGGCGTCCGGACCTGCGGCGGGCGGGCGCGCTGCGGCCCCGGGCGCGCCGTTCTGGAACGTTCGGCGGCCCGAGGAGCAGGGTGGGAGATTCGAACGCGGCGGCGGGAAGCCGCTGACGTCACGCGGCCGAGCATTGTTCTCGCGGGCGGGCGGGCGCGGGGCTCGCGGGCACTTTTGTTTGCGGGCTGCGTCCACTCGCCGTCTGCTTTCTCCCGCAGGTCAGCTCCGCCGAGGGGGCGGCGAAGGAGGAGGTAAGACCCCGCTCCTCTTCTCTCCCGGGCGTGGTTTCGGTTTGCACCGCACCCCGCATTCCTTGCTCATTTTCCTTTTTTTCTCCCAAAGCCCAAGAGGAGATCGGCGAGGTTGTCAGCTGTAAGTAAAGCAAGCCCCCTGACATTTCTTTTCCGTGGGATCGTACCCAGGGAAGAAACTCAGTGCTATTTTTGCATTTCAGAAACCGGTTCCTGCAAAAGTGGAAACGAAGCCAAAAAAGGCGGCAGGAAAGGTAGGTTTCACACTCACCTTAAGAGATCGTGGTGTCTTCGAAATGCTGCATTGCTACCTAACGCGCATTGCCAGCAGCTGAGGTCTTTGAGAATCTCGAAATCAACTACAGTTTGATGTCATAGTCTCCTAAAAAGTCGTAGTGTTACCTTACTTATCACTTTAATTCTATGTTTTAGTAACTTCAATAAACTGCTTTTTCTGGTTTGGGTAAAATACAGTAGATGTAGTCATCATCCCGGTTTACGGGAACATAATGTATCACCTTAATGCTGCTGAATTTGGGAAACTTAAGACGGCTAAAAATATTGAAGAATAACTTTCGCTTACCAGGGAAATCCATTCTTTGTGTTGTGTATGTTTTGGTTAGGGGTCGTCTGTTGGTTGCATGCTTGTACTTCCTCTTGACGATATCAGCAAGGCTAGGACTGAGGCCAGGAGATAGGTAATGTGTAAGTTTTTGCATATAAGGTGCTCGAGGCAAGGTGGGGGGGACATATGTCGAGGGGTAGATCAAGAGCTGTGTTCTCTGAAAACATGATTAACAGTCTTCTAAAAGTATTTTATATACCATTATACGTATAGGAGTTCACTAAGTTATTTTATCGTAAATGGTATGATGGTTGCTGCTCTAGAATAGATTCGTGAGGGCTTTATTCACATTGCCGGTCTTTGGGTAGTTGTTGGATATATATGTATGTAGGTTTGAAAACATTAAGTTGGAAAAACTAAATGTGTGCATGTTATTTGTAACTTTGTGTTTGGATTTAGCATTGATACCACTCTCTGTAAAGCCCTTCCTTGTTCTTCAGGGGAAATTCATGGTGTGATTAATTTCTGTTTACTCAAAACTTTTAAGTGAGTTTGCTGTTAGAAGTCTCCTCTCCCCAAAATCCTTGTCGTCATTACCCCTTTCCTAAAAGTGTAGGTGAAAGGTAAACACTGCATAATCAAAGATTCCTTTCATTTCTTTCTTTAAACATTGTACAGAGCTGAGTGTAAAAATCTTAACGTTTTTTCAATAGAAAGTTCTGTTTTGTGATCCTTTTTAAGAGGGTTCAAGGAAGGTGTAGGCGTAGTATGTCAACTTGAAATTTCTTACACCAGAAAATAATGGGATAATTCTGTATGAGAAATAAGAGTAGGCAGGAAAAATAGTGGCTCTTGTTGCAAAAAGTCTGCTTGAACAGTGTACTATTTATTATTACACGTTTTATTATTTGCTTTTTTAAATAAACTGGCTAGAATACTATGCCTGTTTTCTCTTAAATTCTTCTTTAATTTTTAAAAAAATTTATTTTTATTGGCAGTCTTGGGTCTGTTGCTGCGTGCAGGCTTTCTCTAGTTGTGAGCGGGGACTACTCTTCGTTGCAGTGTGCGGGCTTCTCATTGCAATGGCTTCTCTTGTTGCAGAGCACAGGCTCTAGGAGCACGGGCTTCAGTAGTTGCAGCACGCGGGCTCAGTAGTTGCGGCTCGCGGGCTCTAGGGCACAGGCTCAGTAGTTGTGGCATGTGGGCTTAGTTGCTCCGTTGTGGCGTGTGGGATCTTCCCGGACCAGGACTCGAACCCGTGTCCCCTGCATTGGCAGGCAGATTCTTAACCACTGTGCCACCAGGGAAGCCCGAATTTTTCTTTCTTTATTTACGTGCGTCTGTGTTTTGATTTGCCCTAAAAAATTTTTTTAATGAAACCAGTTCAGATTTTACCTCCAGTTGGGTTTGGGACATCAGTTATAATCAACAGGTAAGTTTTCACATCAGTGTTTCTTGAGAAACAAACCTGTCAGTTCAGTTTTCCCAAAGGAAAAATGATGGGGAGAGGGGAGGAGCCTTTTTCCCCTTTTAGTTTCAGTAATATATCTTTGTCTTCATAACTGAATCATTTTAAAGCCTTAAACAGGAGGTTAAAGCTTTTGATGTATTGATTACCATACTACAGACGTGTTGATTTATTTTGTTTTGTGTCACTTTCCAGCTGTTAATAGTTAAAATGGTATTATTTCAGTCCAGACTATTGCATAGTTCTGTTTTCACGTTTCAGGTTTTACATTTTTATGTTACTGTGATAATGGTTATTAAATTAATGAGAAATCTAAAGAAATCAGATTATAAAAGAATCATTTTTAAATACAGAAACGATTGTCACGCTTCATGGTGGCAGTGTATGTAGCGGTGTTGTCCCAAATATGTTTGTTTAGGTAATTTATTATTCTAAAGATACTGAATTACTAGTAGTTGTCATTCATTCATGTATGGAATGCCATTATAGAAGTATCGGTCACTGTTGGTCTTATCTAAGTCGGCTGTTAACTACGTTCTCTACTTACAGGAAATACTTAAGTGTCTCCTTCCCAGTTGATGGTGTCCAGAAATACTGTTTTATATTACTTTAAAGGGGCTTAACCTTTGAATCTCTTTTATCATCATACTAACACCTGTGCTTTTCAGGTTCTTCAGACACCTAAATGAAAACGATAAACTCAAAATTGATCCTTTTAGCTACCTCTTATATGCTATCAAGGGACTAACTGTAGCAGAACTAGTAGGATAGTCAGTCTGACCTTAACAACATGGTGCTTTTTCTCAGGTGAAAGGTCTTAACTGTGAGGGTAACCATCTTGTCAAGACAGTGGTTATTTGACAATTTAATTTTCCTGCTTAAAGAGTTTGGGGGTAGGTAGGGTTATATTGGGGAAGCGATTCTTCCAGCAGTTCTTCACTTCATTTGTTCTCTCACGTGGAACTTTAGAGAATAGCGGGTAATTGAGAAAGTGGAGAAGGGTTGTAGCTGAGGCTTTAGGTTTAATTAGGTTTAATTGTTGTAAGTCTGATGACGCTTGGTGTGCAGGTGCTGTTAGGGGTCTCCTCAGTGTGCTGTGTGGTCCTGATTACTGGGGGTGGACCTTAAGGTGTGTCCTGTAACTGAGAGTGACACACGACCGCATTAACGTTGCAACTGCGGTGGATGCAATCTCTAGCAAGTCAGAAAATGTTAGTAAGTGCAGAGTTGATACTTAAAATATATTCATGTTCTGTCACAGGATAAATCTTCCGACAAAAAAGTGCAAACAAAAGGGAAAAGGGGAGCAAAGGGGAAACAGGCTGAAATGGCTGACCAAGGGACTAAAGAAGACCTACCTGCAGAAAACGGAGAAGCTAAAAACGAGGAGGTCAGAAGTGTTTGTGTGTTGTTCATTTTGACTCTGAAGAGTGGATAATAAACTGTACTTTTATGTAGCAAATAAGGCAGTCTTTATCCTTTAGGATATTGAACAGAGTTTTGTACAGTAACTCCCAAGTGAATGGACAGATTATTTTTATGCATTAGATCATATTTGAAAATATATGTGTAAATGGGTTTTTTTAAGTGAGTGAACAAGAAATTGTAATGTACTCAGAATTTCAAACTCAGGTTCATGATCTTTATTATATATGGGGTTCATTAATTTAATTGCTTGTGTGAGTTTTTAAAAAGATTTAATTTACTAAATGGTATAACACATTTTTTTTTTCTTTAACATGACCTAGGGGTTTTCTTTAAACAAATATTCTAGTCTTTTTTTTTCCCCAAATTGCCATCTGTAGAACCGTTAATAATCTTGTTTGGTTTTTATATTCTGGATAGTGCTTTAAATTTTTTTTAATTGATTCCCTTCGTTTTATTTTTCCCACTTTCTAATAAAGAAGGCTTATTTTTCTTAAAAGGCACTTGTCTAGGATTAAGTAGTAACTTAGATTAAGCAATTAAAAAGATTGATGTCCTTAATCTTTATCCTTTTAAGCTCTGAGAAAAAGAGGTTTTATCTTAAAAAAAAAAAAAAAAGTGTGTTGCAGGGTGGTAAATAACTTTAAGCCAAGCCTTTTTTTTTTAACATTGGCTAAGCAGAAAATATAAGTAGAATATTAACTTTTAGACTTTATATTTATAAATCAGATTTTAAAGTAATAACTACTTACTCCCCCGATTTGCAGTCACAAATTCCTAAATTTAACCCCAAGTCAAATATTATGTGATAGTAAGATGAAATTAACTAATCCAGTTATAAGGGGAGAGTGAGGCCTTCTGATCCCTTTTATCAACTACAGTTGATTCCCATTATTCATGATGGTTGTGTTCTATAAGGTTGCTCTGTATACTGACTGGACAGTTGCTCATAGTGGAAATTCTCAAAATGTTCTCATCACATTTCCATCAACAGATCAAACCATAACCTTATTTTATGTGTGTCTGTTTAATGTATGTTTTGGGTAAGTTAATATTGAACTCAGGGCCAACAGAAACAGCACTATAACTCGTGCCTCAGTGAAGCTGTCTAACGTGTGTCTTCTCCACATGGCACGTCACAACCTTCTTGCATAGCACATAGTACTGGACAACACTATGCTTGTCTAGTAAACATTGTTGACCAAAAGCACAAAAAAAATGTGAAACGTGTGGCACTAAATAGAGTGTGAAAAAGACACTTGTTTACAGTGTTACAGCTGAAACAAGGCAGAAGGGCCTCAGCTGGGAATGTCTGTGTCAGGTGACTCATATTTTTTGCTGCTGTGTATCTGCACGTACATGACCATGGAACATGAAACATGAGTATTGATTTTGGGGTTACAAATAAATTTTAGTGAGTCAGTAAATTTATAAATACAGAATCTACAAATAATGAGGGTTGAATGTACTGTTAAGACTTAATAATAGTAATGAGTAAAACCTACACTGTATTAAATGCTAAATATCTCTAACATTATAACACTGACACAGAAGTCAAATGTTCTATCACTGTTTTTCCTTTGATTTTGCAGAGCCCAGCTTCTGATGAAGCAGGAGAGAGAGAAGCCAAGTCTGATTAATATCACACACCTGGTCCTATCAGTGGTCCCTGTTTCCCTTCTTGTACAATCCAGAGGAATATTTTTATCAACTATTTTGTAAATGCAAGTTTTTTAGTAGCTCTAGAAACATTTTTAAAAAGGAAGGAATCCCACCTCATCCCATTTTTTAAGTGTAAATGCTTTTTTTTAAGAGGTGAAATCATTTGCTGGTTGTTTATTTTTTGGTACAACCAGAAAATAGTGGGATATTGAATATGGGAGGCTTTGATTGTCTTGGGTGTCAGCTTAACATTCCACAGATGGAGGGTGGCTTTTATATCCTATAATACAAAGCATACATGGCAGTTTGGAGTCAGTTGCGCATTTAATGTCTTAAACACTTTAAATTACTTCTCTTCCCACGTTGTTTTTGGTAGAATTGTTTCCTAAAGCAAACCACTCACCCCTTCATCTTGGCTCTCCTGGGCAGAGTTTTGTGCACTCTGTAACATCTTTGGTCGTGGTAGTCCAGTTTTTCTAGTAACTGTTAATGTGCTGTGAACGATTGACAATTTGAGTATGTAGTGTATGTGATATTAAATTGTGAATTAGTGGGACTTAAAATATAACAGCATATCAGTATTTGAAGATATTGGTACTTGATATCCTGTGAAGGAAAATTTGCCCCCAAATTTTAAGCTGGAAAGTCACTGGAATAACTGTTCAGAAAAGAATCACAACTACATGATTTTTTAGGTTTTTGGTACGTATGTTGAGAATTGTGTACAAATTGAAATGTCTGTGTACTGATCCTCAAAACAACAAATAAAATCTCAATTATGAAAGAATTTCTTGAAGCACATGAATTAAGTTGTGGTTTAAATTTCATTTTAAAGAATTTTCACATTTGTTTTTCCAAAGTCTTAATACAGTTTTGGAAGAGTGGAAGACTTCATTGTTTCTATAATACTCCAACAGGAGAGGCTTTTGTGACTAAATTGGTTTAATGGGAAATCAGTCCCCTGTTCTCTGAAGCAAAATAAATACGTAATTATTCACTCTTCCTATGAACTACGCTTATAAATACTGAATAAGCTAGCACGAGATCTTACAGGTTTGTATTATTTTCGAGATTCGCTTTCATGCAAGTCCTTGTCCCTCTGTTTTGCCGTCTAAATAGTCTTTAGAGGTGGTACTGGACACTGCTGATTTGGCAAATGCAGAAGTGGAGCCAGAGATGGCATTTTGCCAAGGTCACCACTAAAGAGGGAGAGGCCTTGGAAAGAAGTTTAGAACTCTACGTTTGATGTTATTTTGCCTGTGGACTTGATTAGTAGGAGGCAAGAATGCTTTAAAAATTAGTCCTTGGGGGGACTTCCCTGGCGGTCCAGTGGTTAAAACAGCTTCCAGTGCAGGTGCTGCAGGTTCAATCCCTAGTTGGGGAGCTAAGGTCCTACATGCTACGTTGCTGTGTGGCCTGGCCAAAGATTAAAGACGAGTCCCGGGGGATCATAGAACTCTGCAAGGGCTGTGTGCCGCTGGAATGCCCAGTGTGAACAGAGCTCACAGCGGTGAGGTGTGGCATCGTAAAACGTGAAACTACAGAAAAAAATGCAGAGGACGTTGATTTGGGTTGAAATGACACCCAGAAGAGGGCTTTGGCAGCTCTTGGGGAGTGGGAAAATTCTTGGTGGAGGACCTGAAACAGTGATGCAGGTAGATTTGCCTGTAGTTTCTAAGTTTTGTTAGACTGTTTGGATATGCAAATTTAAAGAGCTGAAACATTTTCTCTTGCTGTGTGTATGGATACTTCATGCAATTTTTTGGTACCAGAATTTCTAGCAGCTACTTGTTGCAGTTAAAGGGTTATCTAAAAAAATAAATGGAATTCCCTGGTGGTCCAGTGATCTAAGACTCCACGTTCCCCAATGCAGGGGGCCCAGGTTCGATCCCTGGTCAGGGAGCGAGATCCCATATGCCTTGACTGAGAACCCCCATGCTGCAACTAAGACCTGGTGCAGCCAAATAGATAAATATTTAAAAATTAAAAAATAAACCAATGGGGAAAAAAACTAGTGAATTTTAACCCTGTAACCCATCTGACAGTGTTCATTTCGTATTACCCAACCGTCCACCCCTAGGAATGTGATAAATGTTTACAGACACAAAGATTTTCTTATTCTGAACTCATTGCTAGTAATACGTTTAAAGAGGTTTATTAATTTTCTAAAAAGCACAACAGGTAAGGTTTTTTCACTTCTTGTATAAATTGATACCTAAAAGAAATTGCCTCTTTTATAGAAAATTGGAATGTAGTACTTCTAGATCCTTGCCTTAAGCATCCTTTTATGATTTTTTAATGATAAAATGAACCCTCAAGTGGGTGTTCTCTTCAGCTGTCAAAAGAAAACAATTACTTTAAAAAAAACCCCAAAAAACACGTTGAGGTATCTTTTCTGGGATCAGTACTTAGAAAAAGTTAATTTCTTGCCCTTTCAACAGCTAGTTGAATGAGAACTGAGTGATAGGAATGGTTGAGTGGAGGTCAGTTCAGATGTCCTAGAAGGACAAGGAGGATAACTGTTTAGTAATGATGCTAACAGATCAGACAGTCTCATTTGTTAACTAGAAAAGGCAGTTAGCAAGAACCCTGTATTCTCTTGGCTTGTTTGAGGTTGAATTTGACCTTTCAGATGTAGACTAACCAGAGGAATTAAGGCATGGAACCTGGTGCCTGATGCGGAGATGCATGATAATCATGGAGGCCCTGGGAAAGGAGTCTGTTGTCTGGGTGTTTGGTAAGTGTGTATACAAGTGTGAGGGTGGGGGTAGGGAGGAGAAGTGTGTGTGTGTGTGTGTGTGTGTGTGTGTGTGTGTGTAATTTCAGTACAGGGGCAATCCGTGCTCACTGGGGGAAAAACTCAGGAAACAGACAAGCTAAAAACACCGGAAATTATAATTCACTCACTAGGCAACTATTTAAAGATGCATTTTTCTCAGATCCTTTTCTGTGTTTTTACGAGTTTACAAAATTGGTGTCATCATACATCCGTGGTTTTGTTTGTTTGTTTGTTATTTTTTTGGCCGAGCCTCACGGCTTGCAAGTTCCCCGACCAAGGATTGAACCCATGCCCCCTGCAGTGGCGACATGGAGTCCTAACCACTGGCCGGCCAGGGAATTCCTGCTACATCCTGGTTTGTAATCTTTTGCATACTGTGAACTTTCTCCTAGGTTAATGAGTATACTTACATAGCATTTGTAAGCACTGCATACTATTTTATTTCAAGAATGTAATTTGTCAGACATTTAGACATTTTCCCTATTAAGACAAGCATTGTGAAACTAAAATATGGGTGATTTCTATTAATGCATACAGATATATCCTAAATATATGTTTGCCTATCACAGTCCACAGTTGTTCCATGAGTTTGCAGTAAAAATACATAATTGCAAGACAGTTGAGAGTTTCAAAACATTAAATAGGTGATGAAGAGTCTTAAATAGATGATGGGAAGCAGCTCAGTAACAAATTGGTTTTCAGATCATAAATGTTTAGGGTTGTTAAAAAAAAAACCTGAAAAATAAAAATAAAATCATTTAATCCCAGAAGCTGAAAGTAATTATTTTCAACGTGTTGAATTTTCTTCATATATGTTTGGGTTTTTCTTTTTTTTTTTTTTTTTTTTTTTGCTGGTTTAATCTCATGGGGAAAATAGGATAGCCGAAATAAGTTCCCAGCGAATCTACAGAAGTCACTGGTTAGGGGGGAAAAAAAAATTGGGAGTATAAAATAAAGCAGCACAAAATTAAGAAATTATAGAACCCACGTCTCCTGCATCGGCAGGCGGACTCTCAAGCACTGCGCCACCAGGGAAGCCCTGGGTTTTTCTTTATTTGTAAAATGTTTTAATGTTTGCTTAACAGTTCATTGTATGGCTGTGCCATAATTTGGCCATTACAGTTTTTCTTTTTAAGGATAATTTTACCCATACTCAGAAGCAGTACAGTATACTATATCCCCATATTCTAGTCAACCAGTCCCCAAAGCCATCCAACCATTGCTGATCTAGACTGTCCTTATTATTTTGAAGCAAATAAGGATGGATATTTTAAAACCAGTATCTATAAATAGGAACTTAAAAGTGAACAAAATACACAGGAAGCAGATATTTACATAGGTAGTAAAAATTATTAATTTATCTTTGGTCTTTTACACATTTTGTCGGGGGGTTACATGCAGATTGAATTTAACGAGAAGCTGCTTTTTTCTTTTTCTTTTTAATCCAGTGTGGCTAGTTCCATCTTTAGCATCAACATATTACCTTCAGATGCTGATTCCATATTGATTTTTTTTTAAGTAAAACATTTGCTCAAGTTTATTGAATAGCATTAGATTAGGTAGGAAGCATTAAAGAATTGAATACCAGAGACCAAAAAAAAAATGTCTGTGCAAAAGATGTGAGTAAAAAAAAAGTTCATCAAAGCCAAGGTATGAAAGAATACATCTAAGTATCACCCTTTAAATCCTTTTCCTGAATATTCTATGCATTTAAGTCTGGGGATCTTTGAATGTTACTAGCTTTTATCTGTGACAATGAATCTTATAAAGGAACTCTTCAAAAGTAGAAGAAGGACCTCGTTCCTCTCGATAGTGAGCTTTTTAAACGAAGGATATTATGTGAACCCTCTGTCTCTTGGAAGGCTGAAATTCCATGGGTTTCCCAGGCAGCTTTTAAAATCTTTTATGGGGGCTTCCCTGGTGGCACAGTGGTTGAGAGTCCGCCTGCCGATGCAGGGGACATGGGTTCGTGCCCCGGTCCGGGAAGATCCCACATGCCGCGGAGCGGCTTGGCCTGTGAGCCACGGCCTCTGAGCCCATGCGTCCGGAGCCTGCGCTCCGCAACGGGAGAGGCCACAACAGTGAGAGGCCCACGTACCGCAAGAAGAAAAAAAAAAAATCTCTTATGGAAGCTCGCTATTCCTAAGGTGTAAAATGATTGAAATGCATTCCATCATTTCCTCCTTAATTGAAGCCACATGTTCAGATTTGAGTTTTAAATTCTCATTCCCTTATTTTGTAGGAAAATTCAGCATTCAACAACAGGTATATATATATATATATATATATATATATTTTTTTTTTTTTTTTTTTTTTTTTTTTTTTACGCGGGC